CCCAGGAAGCTACGAATTTTCTTAATTGATGTCAGCTTCTCCCAGTAAAGTACCGCTTCAACCTTTTCGGAATTCACTGATACCCCTTCCTTCGATATGATATGTCCTAGGAAGGCGGTCTGCTCAAGCCAGAATCCACACTTGCTCAACTTTGCATATAACTTCTTTTTTTTGAGCACCTACAGAACTTGAGCAAGATGGTGAGCATGTTCTTCTCTGCTTTTTGAGTAGACTAAGATATCATCGATGAACACGATGATAAATTGATCCAAGAACTCTCTGAAAATCCTGTTCATCAGATCCATAAAGATTGCCGGGACATTGGTTAGCCCAAATGGCATGACCAGGAACTCATAGTGTCCGTACCTAGTTCGGAAGGCCGTCTTGGGAATGTCTTCTATTCTTATCTTCACCTGATGGTAACCTGATCGCAGGTCTATTTTAGAGACGACCTGTACACATTGCAGCTGATCGAAGAGGTCATCAATCCGGGGAAGGGGATATTTGTTCTTAATTGTAATCATGTTCAATCCTCTGTAATCAATACACAGTCTCGACGTTCCATCTCTCTTCCTTACAAAAGTGACTCCGGCACCCCAATGGGACACACTGTGTCTAATAAAATCACTGTCTTGTAATTCAGTGATCTGTTTCCTCAGCTCTTCCATCTCAATGCGGCTCATGCGGTAAGAAGCAACCGAAATGGGCTGGGTACCTGGTTGTAGGTCTATAGTGAACTCAACTTCCCTGTCCACTGGGAGACCGGGCAGTTCGTTCGAAAATACATATGGGAAGTCTCGGACTATCGGAATCTCTTGAATACAAATTTCCTTCTTGGACTTGCCTAGTCAGAGAAAATAGCAAGATTAAGGCACTAGAAGTTAAGAAAACTTGCCATCAAGGAATAAGTACTAAATGATTTTATTAATTTGTAAATGGCTCCTCGTTAGGAGGATTAAATACAACTTTCTTGTTAAAGCAATCTATGGTGGCGTGATACGCCGCTAGCCAATCCATTCCTAAGATTACATCAAAATCCCCCGTGTCTAACCCTATCAAGTCTACACTTAGTTTCCTATTTGCCATCTCCACGGCACAAGCCCTGTAGATAACTTTCCCTAGTAGTGTTTCACCCCCAACAGTAGACACAACAACAATGAATCAAATTTATCAGGTGATACATTAATTTTGGAAGCAAAAACATGTAAAACAAAAGAGTTCGATGCACCAGTGTCAAATAAAACATGAGCAATATGGTCACAGATAATATACATACCCTGTACCACATCTGGATCGGTGTTGGCATCCTGCTGGGTAAGGTTGTAAGCTCTGCCCTGGATAGGAGGCCTTCCTTGTTTCTGGTTCCTTGGGCATTCTCTTGCATAATGCTGGACACTGCCACATATGCGACAGGTGTTGTTGAGGCGGTAGCATGGTCGATCCCCGTGATCTCTGCCGCAGTGCTGACAGATCTTCCCATGTGCTGCCCCTGGAGCCTGAGGAGGGGCCTGGATGGCTGTTCTGGGCCTCTTATTTGGTTGGGCAGACGCAGTAGGTGCTGGCCTGCGGAGCGGAGCTGAGGGTCGAGAACTCTCCGCTTGGCTGAGGACGAGTGTTGAAGCTCTTTTCCACGATTTGTCCCTTTGCTAGAACTGCTAAATATGTCTTGAGCTCCAGTACTAACAAATGTTGCCTGATCTCCGGGCGGAAGCCCCACTGGAATCTCCTGGCCTTTCGGCCCTCATCCATCAATATCTCCGGGGAGTATCGGCCCAGCTCTAGGAACTTACGAGCATATTCTGATACTGTCATGTTTGCCTGGACCAGTTGAACAAACTCCATCTCCTTTAGGTGTCGGATGTGCTAGGGAGATACTTCACATGGAAGGCCGCTAAGAACTGCTCCCAAGTGACTGGTGTAGGCAGGGTGGTCTGTTTGAGCTCCCACAAACGACCTGCTTCCCCTACCAGCATGTAGGAAGCAAGGGCAGCTCTCTGCTCAGGAACCACTCCCAAGGTCTTGAAAGCTCTCTCAGTCTCCGCCAGCCAGTACTGGGTATCTTCAAAAGAGGATCCCCCTGCAAAAGTGGAAGGTTTAGTCTCCTGTACCTTTCTATGTAGCCCGGGTAGATCAAAGAAGGAGCTGGGTCCTGTGGAAGAGGGACTGGGCCCGACTGGGGATAGACTGGGGGGCCCTGTGGTGGCGCCTGCTGATATGGTGGGGGCACCGGATTGTACTGTGGCGGTGCCAAGCAGTACGGTGGCTGGGGCACTAGTTCATACTGCGGCGGTGGTGCCAGGTGGTACTGTAGTGGAGCAGGCTTGTGCCGGGGTAGCTCGGGATCCGCTTGTTGTAGCGGTGGCTCAACTCGTGGTAGTGGGGGAGGTTCGGGTAACTCCCTTATCTCCTCTCGACCTTGCTGGGCGGCCATGATCCTTTCAAGCATCTCGAATATTCTGTCCACATCTTCCTGGAGCGAATCATCCCAGGCTACTCGGTTTAGTGGGGGTCTTCCTCTCCTCATTTCTTTGCACCTGCATTTCACACGGAAGAGTTGAGTAACGATTTATCGGTGGGTATTTCTCTAAGCATTATTGTGTAAGGGATGAGTCCGAGGAACGCGGCTCTGATATCAACTGTAACGGCCTCGAAAATTAAATGAAGATATAGGTATTAAAAATCTTAAATGCGGAAGCGTAATAAAAATTTTGATTAACATCCCTTACACAATAACCAAAAACGTACTCAAAACATGAAAGAATAAGTTAATTAAAAGATATACTCGAAATAAAAACTATAAATAGAACTATAAAGGCTTTAGGCGTCTAACTCGCTGTCTTCCTACGGAATGAGCTTGGGAACCCCGTCCTCCTGATCTGAAAGGTTAAGTAAGGAATGAGCTACATTACCCCAGTAAAGACATCACACTATCTCACTGCCACAGAAATAAAGGTCGGTAGAAAATAAAAACGACCAATGGAGTATAATTTATAACAAACTCATTTATTAACATGAAAACCTTTACTGTCCACTTACTTCGGTGAAATTCATGAAAATAACATATGAAAACAATAACATTATAACCATTATAAAATCATATCGACTTTGTAACAGAACACAT